TGCTCACATGACTCTGTCCTCTTCCAAACTCTTCCAGTGGTGCGAATTCCTCAAAGATGCGGAAAGTTGAACTAACAGGAAGACATCACTGCCACTCTTGGCATCTTTGTATTTGAGTGCATGGCGTTATGGTGTCACCCCCTCAGTCCATGATGTCCTGCACTCACAGGGTGTCTTCAGCTGATGCTGGTCTTCATTCAACCTTTAAGACTGCTGACATCTAGTGGTGAAAAATAATTACTACTGGTTGGGAAGGGGGGGGGTGCTGGTGGAGCCAGAGAAAAGATGAGTATTGTAGCCAGACCTGCTTTTGTGTTTTAAGGCTGCTGGAGCTTGCCCAGAGTTGTCCTTTATTTCCTTCCCACTGAGCGTAGTCATATATGGGGCTTCACAGAAGTGGATCTTTATTTGTGGGGTTGCATATATGCTCTCTTTTGTTTGTGCTGAAAGCGAACGGCACAGCAAGCTCCAACATAAAGACCTCTCATCGAGAGTTCTGGGTCTTGTACTAACAATTGGGAACCGAGTGGACCTGTTCCTAATCACCTGACCGCTGTGATAGCCTCTGATTGGCTGTCACAGTGACCAGTCACTGTACAGCCTATCCTGTGTTGTTTTCTCCTCTTGAAAGGAGAAAAAGATACATTGTATTACATAAAGGATACATTAGATAATGCATTGTATCCTTTTCTCCTTACTAGAGAAGAAAAACCTAAAAAAAGAAAGTGCATGTAAAAATAACAAATAAAGGTAAAATAGTTGATCAAGGTCAGGGTTATAGTTAGGGTCAAGGTTGGGGTTAAAGGCCATGGTCAAAGGTCAGGGTCACAGGTCATGTGCAGTGTATCATAGGCAGTGGCGTCCCGAGGCAGGTGCGGGGGGGGTGCGCACCGCACCGGGTGACAATTACCGCACGGGGTGACACCGGACCCGCTCCACACGAAAAGGTAAGTTGTAAAGTAAGCATCCTGCGGGGATCGTTGGCTTTCTTTACAACTTACCTTTTCGTGATGTGGGTCCGGTGTCACCCCATATAGGTTGCATGCCGACAATCCCTGCAGGATGGATCAGATCTGTGGATTGGGGACTCCGATCCATTATGCTCAATCCGCAGATCCGAACCATCTTGCGGGGATCGTCGACATGCAAGCTATACAGGGTGACACCGGACCTGCTCCACGAAAAGGTAAGTTGTAAAGTAAGCATCCTGCGGGGATCGTCGGCTTTCTTTACAACTTACCTTTTCGTGATGCGGGTCCGGTGTCACCCTGTATAGGTTGCATGCCAACAATCCCCGCAGGATGGACACCGGACCCGCTCCACGATAAGGTAAGTTGTAATGAAAGCCGATGATCCCCGCAGCATGGATCGGATCTGTAGATTGGGGAGCATAATGAATCGGAGTCCGATCCATTATGCTCAATCCGCAGATCTGATCCATTCTGCAGGGATCGTCGGAGGGGGTGTCACCCAGTGTTATCACACTGGGTGACACCAACCCTAGGGACGCCCCTGATCATAGATAGGAATAAAAAATGTAATTTAGTGTCAGTGCCAGTTAGTGTCAGGGTGTTTTATGTGGAATTAAAAAAGCAAAATACACACTGTTGTTTCAGGACCTACTTTGGATACAAAGAACAAATTACACTTAAAGACACATATTCTATTTTCTTACCTTATTCCCATTTACAGTATGTTCAAATAATAAAAACACATCCAGCATGCTGGAGATGTTTTTGTGACTACACAGCCCCACTATTTATCACTTGTTACCTCTATAGTACAGAACCACTGAGATCCTGAAACATGTATGTTGGATTATAAAACACAATTAGCAATTTATTTTGATCTGATTTTTTGCTCACAGCCAGCCGGGATTAACAAGTGGAAATATTTCAGTTTTATGATGTATATATTGGTGCATTTTCTGTGTGCCAAATTAACAATGTCATAAGACAAATTCTAAGTGGTCGCTCACAGTCATGTAGAAAGTACTATAGCACAGTTCATGTCCAATAGTGTGCGCCAAATGACTTACATTACAGAGTGAACATCATTACCACAGTGGAATTAACTCTTTAAGGAGGTACTACTTGTAAAGTGGCATATGTGGACAAAAGTATAAATTGCAGCAATTGTACTTAATATAAGTACAGGGTAATTTGCAAGATAAAACTTACAAAATACACTGTACTTATGTTTAAACATACTGCATTTATTTTATTTCATAAAAAATTGTGAGTCTGGTGTCATTTTAATTCCCTTTAGCATTAAAATAACACTCCTAATATCTAATAAATATCTTAAATCTCAGAATACAAGGATAAAAACTTGAAAAGTACACTGTACTTATATTTAAACATTTTAAATGTATTTTATTTCATAACAAATGTGAGGGTGGTGTCACTTTAATTCCTCTTAGCATTAAAAAAAAAACCCACTCCTAATATTTAATTAATATCCTAAATCTCAGAATACCAGGATAAAAGTTGCAAAGTACATTGTACTTATATTTAAACATATTTCATTTATTTGATTTCATACAAAATGTGAGAGTGGTGTCACTTTAATTCCCCTTATAGTATTAAAAAAACACTCCTAATATCTAATATATAACTGTACTTACATTTCTTATGAAACAAAAACAAATGCAATATGTTTAAATATGAGTGCGGTGTCACTTTAATTCTTAAAACTTTAATTAAAGTAACACAGCGCTGTATCACAAAGAATGGCCTGGTCAGGAAGGGGGGGGGGGGTAAATCCTCTGGAGGGCAAGTGGGCAATTCTCAGAATACATGGATAAAACTTGCAAAGTACAGTGTACTTATATTTAAACATATTGCATTTATTTTATTTCATAAGAAATTTGAATGTGGTGTCACTTTAATTCCCCTTAGCATTAAAAAAACAATCTTAACATCTAATTAACATCCCAATTCTCAGAATACCAAGAAACAACTTGCAAAGTACACTATTCTTACATTTTTTTATGAAATAAAACAAAAGCAATATTTAAATATAAGTACAGTGTACTTTGGAAGTTCTTTTCTTGTTATTCTGAGAATTACGATATTAATTAGATATTAAGAGTGTTTTTTTAATGCTAAGGGGAATTAAAGTGACAACACATTCAAATGTTTTTCTGAAATAAAACAAATGCAATATGTTTACATATAAGTACAGTGTACTTTGCAAGTTGTATCCTGGTATTCTGAGAATTGGGATATTAATTAGATATTAGGAATGCTAAGGGAAATTAAAGTGACACCACACTCACATTTTTTATGAAATAAAACAAATGCAATATGTTTCAATATGAATGTGGTGTCAATTTAAATCCCGTAACATTAAAAAAACCCACTCCTAAAATCTAATTAATATCCTAATTCTCAAAATACCAGGATAAAATTAGCAAAGTACACGGTACTTATATTTAAACATATTGCATTTGTTTTATTTCATTGTAAATGTGAGTGTGGTGTCACTTTAATTCCCCTTAGCACTAAAAAACCCACTTCTAATATCTAATTAATATCCTAATTCTCAGAATACCAGGATGGAATTAGCAAAGTACACTGTCCTTATATTTAAACATATTGCATTTATTTGATGTCATTAAAAATGTGAGGTGGTGTCACTTTAATTCCCCTTAGCACTAAAAAACCCCACTCCTAAAATCTAATAATATCCTAATTCTCAGAATACCGGGATAGAATTAGCCAAGTACACTGTCCTTATATTTAAACATATTGCATTTATTTGACGTCATTATAAATGTGAGTGTGGTGTCACTTTAATTCCCCTCAGCATTAAAAAACCACTCCTAATATATAACTGTACTTACATTTTTTTATGAAATAAAAATGTAAGTACAGTTATATATTAGATATTAGGAGTGTTTTTTAATGCTAAGGGGAATTATTTTATTTCATTATAAATGTGAGGGGTGGTGTCACTTTAATTCCCCTTAGCACTAATATCTAATAAATATCCTAAATCTCAGAATACAAGGATAAACCTTGCAAAGCACACTGTACTTATATTGAAACATATTACATTTATTTGATTTCATTAAAAATGTGAGTGTGGTGTCACTTTAATTCCCCTTAGCATTAAAAAGAAACCCCACTTCTAATATCTAATATCCTATTTTACTGCCCACACAGCGTCTGATAAAAAGTAAAAATGATCAATGTATAAGATGGCTCTTGCTGCTAAACTGTGTTTGGCAGGATCTGCCAAAGAATTCATCAAGGTGTCAAATTCCACAATAATCTACAGTTAATTGTGTACAGAGCTGTGATGGAAAAGAAAACCGCTCATTAATAGAACATTCTTGTTTCTAAGACAGTATTTACCATCCAGTTCCAGTTTTTTCCAGTTGGTAGCAATATTAAGCTGACAGGTGATATAAGAAGTGTAATTACAGTGCAGCTCCCAGTCCTCCTAGCAGCTCTCCTCTCTCACTGCAGGTGGGGGTCTCGCTCCCTCTAGCGGCAGGAACACACAATGTCACGTTGTATCCAGCAGACCGGAGTCAGGGATTTCTCTGTAGCCCTGCCCCTGATTTGGTCAGACGGCGTCTCCCTTTCTGAAGTTAGCAGAGGTTTCCTTTCCAACCTGCCCTTATCTTAGTCTGCACGTTGCTTCTCGGTGACTAATAGCACAATAACATTGTCTAAGGATAATATAAATTGAGGGCTGTTTACAAACTCTATGGCTGTTCAATATAAAAAGGAGCACACAGTCTGGCTGCATCACAATCACTTTGGACCTCTCTGAGCAATCACCAGCAGTACCCACCTTCTTCTGCAGGACTTTGGACAACGGATTGAGGACCTTCATTTACAGATACTGGAGCTACTAAAGGACCATTTTCTTCATTTTCCTCCAAAACCAAAACTAGTGGGACATTTTATTATTAATACTATTTATTGACTTTTTTTTGGAATTCCTATTTTTTTGCTGATCTTCAAGGAGACTATTTTAGAATTACAATGGAACTAGAAATGTTATTTTATCTGCTCATGGTTTCTTCTTCAAGGGACTTATGCAACAGGTAGAGTAGACTTTGCTGGATCTGTTACTATGTCCTATGCTGACAATGGGTGAATATTGAATTCTATTACTAGTTAGTTCTGGCTTGTCTAAGCACCTGTTTATGTTCTTGGAGACTGTAGTCAGACTTCGAGATCAAGGTAACATTTAGAAGGAAATCTTTGGGTTCTTTCCTAGGTGAAAAAGAAATAGAAAGAGAAATACCTGCAAATGCATTCTTTAGATGAAATATGCGATTTACACATTATAGCCGCAGGCAGGAACATGTACATTAAAAATCACATTGTATAGCCCCAGTGATGGCATCATGGCATGGGACAAGTAGGGTGGTCATGCCACTGCAGTCCATAGGGCTTTTGGTCATTCATATATATATATATATATATATATATATATATATATATATATATTTTTTTTTTTTTTTAAGATTTATTTATTTTTCATGGTACAGGTAGGATGATCCTGACACTGTAGCACACAGTCCATTCCATGGATTATTGGTCTGTTATGGTCATATATGATGGTGAACATGTCAGTGCAGGGCACAGTCCAGTCCATAGACCTTTGGTCTTAAAGGTTATATATACATACATATTCATGGTACAGGTAGGATGATCCTTGCACTATAGGATACAGTCTAAGTCCATAGACCTTTGATCTTTAAAGGTTATATTTATACCTATTCATTGTACAGGTAGGATGATCCTGGCACTATAGGATACAGTCCAGTCCATAGACCTTTGGTCTTTAAAGGTTTTAGTATATATATATATATATATATATATATATATATATATATATATATATACATGGTACAGGTAGGATGATCCTGGCACTGTAGGATACTGTCCAGTCCAAAGACCTTTGGTCTTTAAAGGTTATATACAATATTCATGGTACAGGTAGGATGATCCTGGCACTGTAGGATGCTGTCCAGTCCATAGACTTTTGGTCTTTAAAGGAGATATATATACAGTATATTTGTAGTACAGGTAGGATGCTCTTGGCATTGCAGGACACGATCTAGTCTATAGACTAGAAGATCATATACAAATATATAGACATAAAATTCATGGTTCAGGTAGGGTGACCATGGCACTGCAGGGCAGGGCACATTCCAGTCCATGAACTTTTGGTCTTTAATGGATATATATAATCCATATATATATATATATATATATATATATATCTCAAGTCATGGTACAGGTCGGGTGATCATGTCACAGCAGGACACAGTCCCGACCATTGAGTTTTGGTCTTTAATGAATAGTCCTCTTAATTAAAAATAATATAAATACTTTATAATATTTTTTAGTTGTTTTCTGGCATAATATAAATATTTTTGACATTGTCTAAGTATTAGTTATATAAATGCGGAGCTGTATTTGTAAACTCTGTGGGTTCTCAATATAAAAAGGAGCCAGTAAAATGGCTACACCACAGTTTTTAGATCCATATATATAATATTTTTTTATAATATTTTTATGACCTATTAGTATATAATAGATTTATTACAGTTTTTTTTCCCACTCCAGTAGTTTTTTTTTCTATATTGCTATGCATTGTAGAGAGTAGTAGTGAACTCTCATCAAAAGGGTAATATGTTTTTTTTTTTATGTTTTTTTTTTTTTTTTTACTTCTGTTCCAAGCCCCTGGTCGCTTGTTAATTCCTGCGATGGGAACAAACACAATTAGGACAGGTTGTGCTCTGAAGGCGATGTATCATGGCAGTAAAGTGTGATTGTTCTAGATTGTTTAAATTGCTATGTGGATGCGTTTTTATGGCCGATTTGGCAGACCGGCAGTGATCAGGTGTAGGAAGGAGAAGCAGATCGGGATTTAGGAGGAAGGATTCTCTGGGAGATGAAGCTGACAGGCTGAGCAGCTTTTTGTGGGTGTTCCAGCATGAGCTCTACATTTATTGAGCACATGGGATCAGGGAGGCTGAACAGCAGGACTGCCTTGTGCAATGCTAAGGACTCTTTATGTGCTGTGCTAGCCTTGCTGTGGACTGATTCTCACACCTGTTGTTACATCACATCATGAGTTCCTTTATATCATCAGATGCTCAGAAAAGTAAGCAGAACTTCATGCTGAAAATTAGCTGATATAAGTTGAATGTTTAAGTAGTTGTATATAAAATGACAGATGTGAAATGTTAGGTGACATATTCCCTAATGTGTGGACCTGTATGAAATGTATTCATTACAGAAATCATGGAAATCATGGAAATCCAGGAATATAATCCAGAATGCTGCATGATTTATGATAAACCCTGTATTTATGGCTGTGATGGGCATCCTCAGCAGTCACTGATGATGATTATGCATTCCTGGTTGCATGGAGATGCTCAATACTCTACATCAACCTTTATCAACCAGGGTTCTGTGGAACCCTTGGGTTCCTCCAGAGATTTCTCTAGGGTTCCTTGAGCAGTGAGCAATTCCTGCCTCTCAGATAAGTAACCACTAATCACAATGATCTTATTTATAAGAGGAGGATTCTTCCTTCTGTCCCTAAATGTAAGGAACATTTTCCTTTTGACCATGTTCCTAATGTACCAAGAGTTTTGGATATAGTAAATATTTATCATTGTTCCCTGAGACCAGTAAGGTATTTCAAGGGTTCTTCCATGTTAAAAAGGTTGAGAAAGGCTGCTCTACATAATAGTGAGTAGTGTGCTATTTTTTGTGTATTACTTGGAGCTATGTTAGCATTAGACTCAAATCTTGATGTTTTAATACTGGCAATATGTTGCCATAAGACTGATCTCAGTACTTGTTACACAGTACATTTCTGCCATAACACAAGGATTTTGGGGTACTCATTATCTAGTAGCTATGCTGCCATAAGGCAAAGATTTCAGTATGCCTATTGCCTAGTACTTGGTGTTATGCAGTCTTAAAACTAAGATCTCAGAGTGCCTATTGCCTAGTATTTGGTGCTATCCTGCCATAAGATATACATCTCAGTGTGACTATTACTTAGTACTTGACGTATGCAGTTATACGGCATAGATCTCAGTGTGCCTATTACCTAGTACTTGGTGGTATGCTGTCACAAGACATAGATCACCATGTGTCTATTGCCTTGTACTTGGTGCTATGCTGTCATAGGACATAGATCTCAGTGTGTCTATTGCCTAGTACTTGGTGCTATCCTGCCATAAGACATAGATTTCAGTGTGTCTATTACCTAGTACTTGACGTATGCTTCTAAACAACATAGATCTCAGTGTGTCTATTACCTAGTACTTGGTGCTATGCTACCATAAGACATAAATCTCAGTGTGCCTATTACCTTGTTCTCTGTGCTATGCTGCCATAGGACATAGATCTCAGTGTGCCTATTACCTAGCACTTGGTGCTATGCTGCAAACAACATAGATCTCAGTGTGCCTATTACCTAGTACTCGGTGCTATGCTGCCATAAGACATAGATCTCAGTGTGCCTATTACCTAGCACTTGGTGCTATGCTGCTAAACAACATAGATCTCAGTGTGTCTATTACCTAGTACTTGGTGCTATGCTGCCATAAGACATAGATCTCAGTGTGCCTATTGCCTAGCTCTCAGTCTCAGTGCTATGCTGCCTATTGTCATAAGACATAGATCCCAGTGTGCCTATTGCCTAGCTCTCAGTGCTATGCTGCTATAAGACATAGATCTCAGTGTGCCTATTACCTAGCACTTGGTGCTATGCTGCCATAAGACATACATCTCAGTGTGCCTATTACCTAGTACTTGGTGCTATGCTGCCAAAAGACATACATCTCAGTGTGCCTATTACCTAGCACTTGGTCCTATGCTGCCATAAGACATAGATTTCAGAGTGCTTGTTATCTAGTATTTGGTGCTATGCTGCCATATGGATTTCATTGTGCTTCCTACTTTCAATCCTACCATGCAGATTCTACATGTAAATGGATGTTTAAGGCTGTATCGTTACATCTGTGGGATAACATGTTTAGTCCTGCCTGCTCCTATTATTATGATAGGAATGCATTACATTGCATTGCACAACAGACAGCTGGAGTTGCATGATGTCCTGACGTAGCAATACTAATTTCACTCTTAAATGAAACTCAGAAAAAAAAGATACATGTGATACCCTCAACGTAGATAGCAGGGGCACACAGATATTCTTGAATGTCTTAAGGTTATGATGTTTTTTTTTATTTCTTATTATATTAATATACATCATTTAACCAGAGTCCCATACTTTTTTGCAGGGTTAAGCAGCACTTTTTTGGAAGAGTCTTCCCCATCTGCAGCTTCAGCCTCTCCTCACATCTCTGGGGCCCCCTTGCGGTCACGCAGATTTAAACGTTGTTCCTGTTCATCCCTTATGGACAAAGAATGTGTATACTTCTGTCATCTAGACATCATTTGGATCAACACACCAGAGTAAGTATCAAACTCTTAGATTGTTCAGATAAACACATTTGTCAAGAGTTTTTCTAAGCAGACAAGCATTTTATATTATAAATTTCATTCTTTCTACAAACTATGATTGTAAATATTTGGTTGTGTATAATACAATTTCACAGCATTTCATATCAGGGAGTCACATACTGTATATATTGTATGAGGAACCCTGATTTTATAAGATGCTAGTAAGATTGCACAATACTTTTCCATAAAACCTGACTTTGGAGAAGAATTGACAGCAGCTAATGGCCATTTGGCACACCCAGCCTTTCCAATTTGTCTGCTTTCTCTATATTGTATAAATGCTTGTTTGGGATAGTCTCTGATTACTGGTTGCTACCTCTGTGACCATCCCAGTATTTCATCATTTTCAAGACAGTTTTAGTTCAAATATACACCGCAATAAAATTATACTGTAGTAGTAAAACATTAAGGACTTAAGTGGATTTTAATGAATTGATCTGGGCCACAACATTTATGACTAAAGCTGAAAACCCTAAAATCCCAAGGAAAACAAACTCTGGATTTTGTACATGCATTAAAATATTAACTTAACCAGAAAGATTAAAAGGGTATTGGACAAATATAAAGAAGTTGTAAGCTAATGACTACAAAACACATGCAGCAGTCTAAGTGACTTTTGAAATGTAGCCTGTATAGACAATTAAACCTCATTTTATCAGTTTAGATAAAGAATGAAAGTATGACCTAATTGGTTGCTGTAGGCAACCGTTCTTTATTGCCATTGCTAGTCAGATGAAGCTACCTCTCTATGGTATAAGTGTTCTAAATTCTTTGTTCCTCAGTTGGTTAACATAGGAATAGAATTGGTTTTGTATCTGTTGACACATAACTGGAGAGCTTCAAGTATGTATAATGCACTAATTACTCAAAACTCTGATTATGATAAGCTGTAAATGTTTGACTTACTTTTTACCTCTTAGGCATTTACAGCAAAATACTCCTAAACTGTGATTTAACAACCATTAACAAGCTATTAATTGAAATACAGGTCGCAACCTGTACAAGTTGATGGTATGCCACTGTGAAACCAAATCTTGCAATTTGTGAAATTGTATGTCATTAAAAATAAGCTGGAAATTAAGATCTTTTGTACAATGGTTACTACTGCAGTGCAATGTGTGGGAAGTTTTCATATTCTGACATTTTCTTGGTTGGACACCGAATACGGCACACAGAATTCTTTATTTTCTAATCTGCGGTTGCACCATCTTCTTGTTGAAATGTATACTGATATTATTTTACAGCATTATTGACGGAGCTTGTTTCTGTTTTTTTTTTCTTTCTGCAGAAAAACGGTGCCTTATGGTCTCGGTGGGCCTCGCTTGAAACGTTCATTGCAGGACACAAAGACGGAGTCTACAGACAGGTGTATCTGTGCCAAGCGTGAGGACAAGAAATGCCTGGATTTCTGCCAAGCCTCAGCAGAGCTCAGGTGTGTGCAAATATTTTCAGTATGTAGGACTGACAAAGCTAACTCTGAGTACACCTGTAGCAGAGGTTGCCTTTATCTGGAAAGGATGTGTTGTGAAAAGGTGTTCCTTGGCTTGTGCCTTACAATGCTTTGTTTTCTTACAGTGTCCAGCCTTTGCTGAAAAAAGAAATGCGCCAGAATCAGCAGGCCAAAGTTTGCACCGGCCTGGAGATGGGATCACTCTGTGTTGAAAAGCACCTTTCTAGTAACACAGAAAGGTGAGAGAAAACTTGCTTTTTTAAACTAATCTCTACTCTACAAAATCACCTACTTTTGCTGTGTCTTTAAAATAAAAGTAACTGATAGAATAAAAAAAAATAGTTATATTTTGGTAGTTGGTCATTTCAAGCTTTAAAGTATAATTCCACGTAAAAAAAGCCAAAATAGCTCCACCAGATAGCTTAGCTGCATATTTGTGCTCTGGGAATGCGTTTGTTGTTTGACGTTTCTAGGTGTGGTGACGAGAAACACCTATTATGCGTGCTTGATACATCTGTCTAAACTTAAGTTCTCAGTCAACAGACTTCATTCACGTGTTAGTTTGACATTTTTTTCACAGGAAAATATTTAAAACCCACAGCTAAGGGGGAACAAGTGAGCTCTGAGGATAAGGTCACATATACTGCATGTCTAAACCAGCAAACATTACAGGTCTTTATTAAGTAAAAATAGTGTTACTATAAAAGCTAAAGATTATAGTGTAGGTCATAAGTCTAGTAGTCTTTATTGGTGGAGCTCTTCCTTTTTTGGGTGTGCTAGCTGAAAATCACCTATTATATTTCTTGAAAGAGCTTATTGCCGCACAAAATTAGTTGATACTGGTAGACCATCCTGTCTATGTAAATAGGTGTAATGTGTCAACCAATCTTATTGGCTGTCCCACCTATCCAATGTGTAGCTGTACTGTTTACATCTTCAGCTCTGGCAGTGTGCTTCCAATCCAACTGGAGCGATTGTGGAGAATATTTCGATGAACATTTTTTTTTTAATATAGAATTGCTTTTTAAGTAATAATTATTGATAACAGGATATATTCAATAAAACAAGTACAAATGATTAATTACATCTTTACTTACAAACACATTTGCTTTTACAGAATGGATGACATTACAAGGTCCATTAAAAGATCATTCGCTATTGCCAGACTACTGAAAAAGCTCAAAGAAATGAAAGAAGTAACGCGTCCTTGGACGCAAAGGAAGAGAGAACTTTGGAAACATATAAAAACAACATCTTAGTTAAAGGCTAGCACCCATTTCTTTTAAAGTGTGGAAGATATTGCTGTCAGTGCGTTGCTGTGTGCCCTACACCTTCTCCTTGATGGCTCTTTGCACTTAAAAAAAAAAGTATGAAGACTGAATCTGGAGATGTGGGACAATAGTAAAACTTCAGAAATGGCACACGTGGTAACTTAATATGAGATACATAAGAGGTCTAATGGAGAAGAATGCCATGAAAACAATTGGAAGGAAAATACTGGAACCAAAATTTTGGATTATCTGCCAAGCATTTCTACTGACAGTAAAACACTGGAGCGCAATATGCAAAAACACGTGCCTTATTCTACACATGAGATGCTGCATATGGAAGTGTATGTGTATTGTAAATGGACATTTATGCCATTTTGAGGACATATCACATACATACATGACTACCTCAGGTTTACTCCTCTAAAAGGGCTTTCCTCCTGCCTATAGTTTAGCTTGTTCTGTGAAAATGCCTTATTTTTTTCCTGGAACCCTTCACTTAAGCTAACCAAATCTTTGATACATAATAGATCCCAGATTTGTTTAGTGACTAGTTGGTGTGGCCTTAGAGAGCAGTTCAGTTTTTTTTTCTTCATGTTAACTGCTCTCGCAAGCTAAAAGTGGGTCTTAAAAAGCAGTGGAGTTATCTGCTATCCCTTATCTAAATTTATTATGTGAATATTTTTTAAAATAAATATTTATATTATTTTTAAACCGACTATATTTACTGTGTTAAATATCCATTGGAATAGGCCATATTGGTCTATGCATGTTTGTATTTCTGTATGAAAAAAGACCTTCGTTTCTTCAATAATAATGTTAAAATAAATATTTTGTAACCCTTATACAGCATTTGTGAATTTTTTTCTCTGTTGACTTTTAATTGTTTTAACGTGTATTAATAAGCCAGTACTGTAGGTTGTGACTGCTGTTGTAAAGGTCAGATATTCCACAGAACTGGATGTATGACTAAAAATGCCACTAGGGCAATATTTCATGAACAAAGAATGCAGAAGAGTTCTTTTCTGTCACGTCCTAAACCTGCAATATAGTCTTCTACAGTAACATAAGTACTTGCAGAGAACCTGCTAACTTGAGAATGTAGCTAATTTAGCCAGAGCCCTTGGATATTACACTTTTGTCACAACCTTCATTTTAATGGACGCTTTAAAGCCCAGCTCTGACTAAAGCTTTGTTTATTGTGGGAAAGAGAGCTTCTTGGGTTTTTTTGTGGTTTATGTTCCTGTTGGGGAAATTTGCCCTACCTTCCTGTCAGGACAGGAAATAAGGTAAAATCTCTCCAATAGGGTAACAAACCACAACAAATCACCTAAATAAGCCTTTAGTATTTTAGAATTTTATGTGGATGTACCATTTACATAACATTGAGGAATGCACAGATAATCATGAAGTGCAAATTATATTTGGGAACTGCATAACATATATTGTGGATATCAAATATACAAAGGTGATGGTGTTATGCAATGCACAGAATGAACATACTGTGCACCTAATGACTAGATAGCTCTGACAATCTGATGTGTGGGACGTGGCACAGTAAAGGTGAAAAACATACATTAACTTTTTGTGATCACATAGACCAGGGTTTCTCAACTAGGGTTCCTCCAGAGATTGCAAGGAGTTCCTTGAGCAATGAGCCATTTCTGTGTCTTAGATAACTTCCCACTGACATCATTGATCTTTTTAGCTATTTGTAAGGGGGGGAGAATTCTTCCCAATGGCCACAAGTGTAAATAGAATTCTTCCTACTGACCATCACACTAATGTATCACAAGTTGTAGATATAGTATGCTTTAGAAGGTGTTCCCTGCGACCAGAAAATTATTTCAAGGGTTCCTCTGTGTTGAAAAGGTTGAGAAAATCTGACATAGACACTAAATTATACACAGAGAACTTTGCAATAAAAATACCATGAGAAAAAAAATGGAAGCAATGCCTTATAATACTGCTGTAATTTTTCTAGGTCATGAGTAACTGATATACTGTGATATATATATATTTATAGTCTCTACATTATATTGCCAAAAGTATTTGGACGCCTGCCTTTACATGCACATGAACTTCAATGGCATCCTAGTTTTAGTCCGTAGGGTTCAATATTGAGTTGGCCACCCTTTGCAGCTATAACAGCTTCAAATCTTCTGGGAAGGCTGTCCACAAGGTTTAGGAGTGTGTCTATGGAATGTTTGACCATTCTTCCAGAAGCACATTTGTGAGGTCAGGTACTGATGTCAGACGAGAAGGCTTGGCTTATAGACTCCGCTCTAATTTATCCCAAAGGTGTTCTATCGTTGATGTCAGGACTCTTTGCAGGCCAGTCAAGTTCCTCCACTCCTCAACCATGTCTTTATGGACCTTTCTTTGTGTACTCGTGCGCAGTCATGGTGGAACAGGAAGGGATCATCCACAAAACTGTTCCCACAAAGTTGGAAGCATGAAATTGTCCAAAATGTCTTGGTATGCTGATGCCTTAAGCGTTCCCCTCACTGGAACTAAGGGCCAAGCCCAACCTCTGAAAAGCAACCCCACACCATTATCCTTGCTCCACCAAACTTTACACTTGGCACAATGAAGTCAGGAAAGTACCGTTCTCTTGGCAACTGCCAAATCCAGACAAATCCATCAGATTGCCAGAGAAGCACGATTCATCACTCCAGAGAACCCATCTCCACTGCTCTAGAGTCCAGTGGGGGAGTGCTTTACACCACTGCATCCAATGCTTTGCATTGCACTTGGTGATGAAAGGTTTGGATGCAGCTACTTGGCCATGGAAACCCATTCCATGAAGCTCTCTATGCACAGTTGTTGGGCTAATCTGAAGGCTACATGACGTTTGGAGGTCTTTACCTATTGACTCTGCAGATAGTTGGTGACGTCTACGCACTGTGCGCTTCAGCATGCGCTGACCCTGCTCTGTCATTTTACATGGCCTACCACTTCGTTGCGGAGTTGATGTTCTCAGTTGCTTCCACTTTGTTATAATACCACTAACAGTTGACCGTGGAATATTTAGTAGCAAGGAAATTTCATGGATGGACTTTTTGCACAGGTGGCAACCTATCACTGTACCACACTTAAATTCACTGAGCTCCTGAGAGTGACCCATTCTTTCAAAAAATGTTTGTATTAGCAGTCTGCATGCCTAGGTGCTTGATTTTATACCCCTATGGCCATGGAGGTGATTGGAACACCTGAATCCAATGATTTTCAGGGGTGTCCCAATACTTTTGGCAATATAGTGTATATATACTGTGTGTATATATAGATAGATAGATGGAACCCCTGTAGTTGTCCAGGGGGAGCTAACTAGAGGGTCAGTAGGGGGCCCCATGAGATGCCCCTGGTACCTTTTTCATATGCTTTTTTGAGTTTGGGCAAGGACACAGGGGCCCCATGAGTTGTCAGTCGGCCCCTGAGCGTCAGGCAGCTAGGTGAAGAGGAGATTTCATCTGGGGTCTAAGGAGGTACACCTGGAGAGCTGGAGGTCTCTTCCAACAAAGATAGGTATCTGTCCATTCAGTCGTATCCGACCCTTGGCGATTGCATAGACCGTCACTCGAATTCTCTTAGCAATTATTTTACAGGGTAGGTTGCCAGGTCTTTCACCAACCCCTACCATGCAAGAGATCCCGCATGGCCAGGGATGAAACAAGGACAATTTAGACAGGAGCCAATTAACCTACCAGCATGTCTTTGGAGTGTGGGAAAAAACCAGAGTACCTGGAGGAAACCCACGCAAGCACAGGGTGAACATGCAAACTCCATGCAGGAGGCGCCATGGTTGGGAATTGAACCCATGACCCATTTACTGCAAGGCAGAAGTGCTAACCACTAAGCCACTGTGCCGCCCCCAACAAAGATACTTTGCTGTTTATCAGATTTGTACATAGTAGCTAATAAGTTTGTCCCCAAACGCAGTTCACTTGGACATCCAATACCCCTTAATAAAACGTCAAACAACAAGCTCAAGGACTGTTTACTGTCTCCTGTGTACAATGTTCAAAGAAAATGCGTGTTGCCTGGCTCTGCAAGACTATAGGGGGATCCAAAACTCAGCAACTCCTAAGGGGGTAGTGCTACATATACAGTATATAACCTATATAAGTATTTTTCTGACAAAAAAAAACAATTAAAAACACACTCAATCGTATTTAGCACAAACGAAATAGCAATCTCTAAAGCACAGTATATCAGCAAGCAATCAGATTTAATCTTTCATCTGGCTGAAGCAATCAAAACAAGCATTGACTGAATGACTGAATGTTTGCTGTGGGTTAGTGTTACATTTTACACATTGAATGCTGTATTAAACAGTCTCAATGTGAGCATGCATTAGGTACATATAACATATCTGTTGATTAAAACTGCAACAATGAACAAAGTGCATAATAAAATGTTTTCTTTTTCCAGGCTGTCTTTCAGTTGCAATGCCTTCAATGCTTTCACAGTCATAGTCCCAGAACATTTATACGGCCAATTCGAACTCCTGATCTGCATGCTGGTCCTATGTCAGTGACTAGGCATTGAAGACACTGAGCTCGCAAGACAGCTATACAGATAGCATTTTCAGAAGGATAGGTCAGCAGTGGTAGCCTGCACATTTCTTTCAGTACAAATTTACTTTAAATTACACAGACGGTTTGCAGCTACTATACATGTGTGTTTTGTTTCATAACAAATTGATTTTTGGACTAAAATTTAGATTTTCAGAGATTCGGATGTATACGAATCTCCAAATGAACATAATAATTAAGGTAAATGAATAAAAAAAAAATACTTATAACAAAATTAACTAATGGATTAGTTTCATTCAGATGACATCACCGGATGTGATAATAGTTCGGGACCATGGGGAAATTAATTAAATTTTTTAATTCATTTGATAAACAGAATTCAAGTAAATTTGTTATTTAAATTGAATTAATAATTGTATCAGTCAGTCAGTTCCACAGTGTAATGCAATTCTTAGGTTTGAAAAATTGGGGGCTGTCAAATTTTTCATTATGTATTCAGTTGTGTCTGAAAATTTAACATTAAACGAATCCAAAAAAAAGTTAACAAATGCATTAGTTTGATTCAGATGACATCAGGTGATGTGATAATAGTTCAGGCCCATGGGGAAATTAATTCAGTTTTCACATTTGATTCAAATAAATTTGTGATTTAAATTGAATTCATAATTGTCACAGTCAGTCAGTTCATTTCCACAGTCTAATGTAATTCTTAGGTTTGAAAAATTTGGGGCCATCAAATTTTGTATTATGTATTCAGTTGCATCTGGAAATATTGCATAGTTTCGATTTATGAATAATGAATCCACCTGAAATGTCGAAACCAAAAATAATGTATAGCAATCTTTCAAAAAAACTGCAACGTTTTTCGCATCCACTCGGACCAACGAATATATGAAACAAATGCCGAAAACAAATTGGTTCAATATAATGAATATTACCAAACAAAATTCTTCAATGATGCATCCAAAACGAAACAAAAATTTCTAGTGTGCACATGTTTAGCAGCTACTGCTGAATAATTCACTTTTGTACACAAAAAGTACTTAGACATGTGTCTAAATCTCTCTTTCCTCTGAAACCCAATCCGCGTTTGGATTCGGCTTCAGGGGCTACTGACAGGCTACTGACAGGCGGTGAGGAAGTGATGTCACCAGGGGCAGACTGACCATTTGGAAACTCGGGCACTGCCTGAGGGCCCGGGGTCAGTAGGGGGCCCCATGAGATGCCCCTGGTGCCTTTTTTCATAGGCTTTTTTGAGTTTGGGCAAGGACACAGGGGCCCCATGATCCCCTATTGCCCAGGGGCCCCATGAGTTGTCAGTCCGCCCCTGGATGTGATGCCTCCTCATCACCTCTTTTAAACCCATTGTTTTTCCAACAAACGTGCTGCATCCTCAACAAATGTGGGGTGTTTATGGTGCTTCCCTATTTGCTAGAGTGTGTAGCATTCTGTGGGCTGCCACCCACCAATCACTACATGTCGGGGAAATTTTGCTGTAGGCACAAACCATCATGACCGTGGCATGTAAACACCCCAGTCAGCCGCTGGGGCGGTTGACAGGCAGCAAAAACACTGCTCAACTGCGCATTTTATCTGCCTCTCAACTGAAAGTTTAATGAAGCCTAATAGGAAATTTTACATTGAAATGTGTTACTAATGTGGGCTCTAAATATGAGGAAATATACTAGATTTCAAAAGTGTCAAGGTAATTAAAGTACATTTTACTTACCCACTCTTAACCCATAAACATGTAAGTTATGTGTTTTTCTTTATCTAATTATTAAGACAATTCACAGTAAATATATAAATTTAGAAATACCTATAACTAAAAATGTAGAATAGGACATTAGCCTTTGTTTGATGCTGTAATAGTAATAAATACAGTGTGGGCTTTATAGTAGCACTAATTAAAGCATTATTAGACTCATTTGGTAAAGCGATGCAAGCAATGGAAAAGGAATTTACAGCATATAATGGCAAATCAGATTTCAGTTTACTGAAGTCAGAAAACGAATATATGAATTCTGATTGGGTACTATGGGTTAAATGATACGTACTGTATATAAGAGCTGTTGTATGATACAAACTCGGAAGCATATGCAGAGCACTAGGATCAACTAGGAGTAATGACCTTTAAGATGTCATTTCACTGAATGGAAACACCTGTGACTTTGCTGGAAGTATTCCTCTGTGGAAAATGTATGGTCCTGTGGATATGCATGTACAGATGGAAAATACAATAGTGTGAGCGTATGATAATGCCTGATAATGAGAAAGAGTAGGTGGCAAAATGACTCAAGAGACCTATTTGTGTGACTTTAATCATTTGCGTAGAATACAGATAGTGGTAAGTGGATCAATATTTGTGAACTAGAATAAAAAAAATTTATTGGTTGATTCACCAGAAGACATGGTTATTTTAAGTCACAAATATCTTTCTGTTCCCTCTGCCTATTACCACTTGCCCTCCTGAGGATTTACCCCCCTTCCTGACCAGGCCATTTTTGCGTTACGGCTCTGCGTTTTTTTAACTGACAATTGAGCAATTTATGCAAAGCTGCACCCAAATGAAATTTACGCCCTTTTTTTCCCCACAAATTGAGCTTTCTTTCAGTGGTATTTGATCACCAGTGCGTTTGTAAATTTTTCTGCTCTAAAAAGAAAAAAAAGACCGACAATATTTTTTACTTTTTTGCTATTAAACATGTCCAGTAAAAAAAAAAATGTAAAAATCAAATTTCATCATAAATGTAGGCCAAAATGTATTCTGCTACATGTCTTTGTTACAAAAAAAAAAAAACCCAATACGTGTAAATTAATTGGTTTACAAGAAAGCTATAGCATTTACAAATGGCGGTATATATACTGGGATTTTTTTAAAAACATGTTTTATTTTTACTAGTAATGGCAGCGATCAGTGGGACTGCAGCAGGAATTCTGACATTGGGGGGAACTGACTTGGTGTCACTGACATCTCCAGTGACACCAATACAGTGATCAGTGCTAAAAAAAAACCCACTGACACTGTACTAATGGCACTGGGCAGAAAGTGGTTAACATGAGGGGTGATTAAAGAGTTAACTGTGTGCTGTTTTACTTGTGTCTGTGTGCTTCACTGTAAGTACACTGCTTTGGATGGCTGTGCTACGCACAGCCATCCAAAGCAGTGTGCACAAGCTGACAGGGAGGAGATGTTCGGCATTCACCGGGCACCAGCGAGTAATCACTGGCTGGGACCCGGTTATTGACAGCTGCGACCGTGAATGTTGGCGTGGGTAGGGCGCGCCTCATGCATGCCCCCTACCTGGCAATGCAAAATCACTTATACATAAGTGATTTTTCGCACTTGTGCTGCCCTGTAGCAGTAAATCTGCTACAGGGTGGTCAGGAAGTGGTTAATAAAAGAAGAATCTCCTTTGGATTCTTGCTTACTCATGGACTGCAATTCCATAAGTGAGGTGTGGAGAAACCATGCTCCAAATCAGTGGTGTAATTATAGCCCCAGCAGTCCATGCAGATGCTATGACTCCTGGGTGCGGTAGAATGGCTCTGGTTTGGAGGCTGCTAAGGAAAATTAAACTTAGAAAATCTCAGGCCCTAACCTTCTGTGAAGTCTTCACCTAAGAAAAACTGATGCCAAAAACACACTAGACGAGTCTCTAGGATCGTTCATAGTAGCATCTCTTTCACTTTTTCTACTGTAAAGGCTGTTGGGTTTCATAGCAGTACAAACCAGTCCTCCTTCCTATTTGAGAGTAAATTTATGGCATTTAAAACTTTTTGTGCAGCCCTTAAACTAATCCAGTATACTTAAGCATTGACAAGGCAGGTGAGCTTTTTACTTTTGAAAAAAAGGCCCGGATTAAAGAAGTTTCTATTAGCCTAGGTTCAGACTATATGCGAATGCGTGTACTCTCACACCTTCCTGCACCCACATAAAAAACGCAGATACTATTCTTAATGGCACTCCCATTCACTGGAAACTGCATTTTCCCATGCTGGGAACTGCATATCACTATGAGGTTTCCATGTAGCTGCCTTTTTGGAAAAGGTGCAGAGACATTTTCCCTGTATTTTCCATAGGTACAGCAGGCCAGTCATATGAATAGGCTGCTGTGCCCATGCAAACTTGGCATAGTGTGAACCTAGCCTTGTGGCTATAAAGCCATTGTGTGAACATTAATGGTAAAATATATTGTCATATTGGCTATTATTAACCAGTTGAGGAGACTAGGCAGGCAACATGTCCAAAAAACGTAATCAATGTACACCGGTTGTGTGAAGTATGCAGAGTACTACTGCCTTTCTGCTGCTCCATCATTGCACTTACCAATCTCAAAATAGCTGTGAGTTGCTGTGTAAATAGAGAAGCTGAAGAAGCTTCTGCTCTGAAAAACTAAAAAAGTAGACAACCTAACACAACCTATCAACACTGTTCAGAAGAAATAGGGAGATACAAAGTAATACTGTTCCATTGTATTTACTCTGTTTCATTCATCTGCAGATCAAAGTGGTGAGCTTTGATCTGCATTAACTTCCAGTTAAAGCAACCTGACAATTAAAAAAAAGATTTAAAAAAAGTCTGTTTCTGTTTAACCCCTTATTAAACCTTAGTTTACCCTAATCAGCCCAAATAAATGATCATATCCCTCTTCCCTTTAACTACTGCTTGCCTGCTTTTGTTGTTTTCTTTTTTAGTAACCATTCATATTTAAACTGTCTTTGTATTTATTCAAATTGTTGGTTTTTTTTGTAGTGTATAAAAAATAGGAGAAAATTGAAAAAAAAAAAACCTATTTTATTTGTAAATCCCTTGCAGTGCTTTGTAGATGAGTCATAATTTTAAACATAGTAAATTATAGAAAAAAAAGTGTTCTATTTTCCACAGTAACACTAATTTTTACTAACATTGATCAAAGCAGTGCTGTTAAATGTGTTACTTTTTTGTTTATGCACTGCATAAAAAATAAAATCATCCTGAAAAGAAAGTTGTTTTCCTAAAAATCAGATGTACAGTATCAAACAAAGTTATTGTTGAATAAACAAGAGTTTTCCATTGAATTTTCCCAGCTGTTGATTTGACATGAATAGCTGCTATTTCTGAAATCTGTTGCAGTGTTGAAGCCTAGAAGCAATTATTGAGGATGGATTTTCACATTAACTATTGATATCCTCTATTGTCATTAAAGTAGAACTATAGGCAAAACCTTTAAGGGAGGGTTATAACCCCCATCAGCCTTTTTTTTTCCATCTCTGTCCCATTGGGTAGATTTACCTTTACTTCTCTCCCATAGCCAAAACAGAAAGAGAGTGGAAATTCATCCAGGTCACCAGAACTAGTCCCCATCAGAAGATTTCATCTCTATTACTGTTTTAGGAACAACCCAGAATTAGGATTTTTTTTTTGTAATGTTCACTTTCAATGATATAATGAATAACAGGATGAAGAGAGAGGGTGAATCTCCCTGATAGGCATTCTAATCCCTCTCAACTCTTTCTAAACTAAAAAAAAAAACCCAACCAAACAAAAAAAAAAAACGGCAAGTTGTATCATACTTACTGTAATTTTCCTTTCCTGACGCCAATCCATGGCAGCACATGGCTCTGCCCCTATATCCACCCACAGGACCTGTGTATATCTACAAAAGTCTGACTGAGAGTAACCTTCACCATTCTCTGTACAATCAAGATCAAACAAGGGAGGGTTTGTATGCTACCATGGATTGGCGTCAGGAAAGGAAAATTACGGTAAGTATGATACAATTTTCCATTTTCCTGACGCCAACATGGCAGCATACATGTGATAAATAACTAGCTAAACAGGGAGGGTTAAACTGTATAATCAAACTGCATTACAATGGACATGGAAGCCCAGACTACCATTCTGTTGAAGTCCATTGACGTATAAACCCCTGGATTTTCCCTGTAGAGCCTGAGACAGGTGCACTGTGCTAACTAGCCTGCTGCTTTGCAAAAGTCTTCATAGACACTTTGGATGTTCTGCCCCAAATGTAGAGATGGACCTGGCTGAATGAGCCTTTACTACTTCTGGAGGCTCTTACCTGGCTGCACTATGTTTTCAGGATGACCATGACACTCCAAGATGACAAGGTTTGCTGTAGCTTCCTCCTCTGAATTTACCTGATGGAAACTTGAACAGCCTCCCAGAAGATTTAAACTAGGAAGCAGCTTGAAGGTACACAGATCTGTGTGAGGAAATTTTAGCAACTGGGCAACCACTGGGTTACTAGGATCAAAATCCTGCTCAGCTGCAAAGACTGTGAACCTGTTCCAGACTTCAGAGTAAATGGCATTTATTGGCATCCTTCCTGA